ATAAAAAGTGTTACTTTTGTTCAAAACAAAATTCCACCCACTAAAAGTGAAGATCTAACTGGCTTTATTAAGCAATTCATGAGTTGGGCATCATCCGATCTAGCAAGTAGAGAGAGAGATACTCCAGGGAGTTATACAAAATAGCCAGTTTTTATAGGAAGGGGGGTGGGGTGGGGAAGTTTATTAGCAAAAGAAAAGAGATGATTATTTTGGGCCAGGATGTCTTCTCTGTGGGGAGAAAGGACCGGCAAGGGTTTTATCTTATCGTGCAGGTTGCATCTTCTTCCTCTAGGGGATGGAGAGGGCTCACACGTGACAGATTACCTCATTGGTACTGACCAGAAAATTCTGGTCAATTGATTAAGACGACATTTCTGGGGAAGGTCAAAACTGCAATTAGGTCAGGTATTAAATCTAGGTTTGGTGTCATATCCTGGGCTTTAGCACAAGTGATGCCATTTTGGGCCTGTGGTTTTTCTCTTTAACACTTTCAAAACTAAAAATATGGGATGATATTTACTTCTTTAATGTTCAATTTGTGCTTGTCTTTTGCTGTACAGATACTCAGTTCTGAGTTGAACTTGAGCCAAGCACACACAGATTTCATTTTCAACTGAAATGAGACAGTTTCTGTCCTTGCCCTTGATGTTTGCTGAGTAAGACAGAGCTTACCTACAGGTGTAAGAAGCAGCACAGCGTGTGCTACATTTCTATGAACGGCAGGATTTTCTTCTTGTAGAAGTCTAGAACTTATCTAGGGCAGAGCAGTAAATTACACCTTGAACGTGTGATTAGACTGCAGCTTGCAAAGTTCTCTCTCTCATCTGAAAGTCAGGTTCTCAGACTGAACAGAAGATTTAGAGAAAGGGTCTCTCACCCAGCCATACACCTGTGTTGAAAGGAGGAAAAACACTGGTCGGATTCCTCCTGCCACTATCTCTCCCAGGTCGTTTTCTATCAGTCTTCTGACTTGCTGGTAGCCTTCCTCACTTTCAAGCACAAGGAGCAGTGGGAACATTTCAGGCTTTCCTTTCTTTTCCCTTTAATTTGAGATAAAATTCGCATAACATAGAATCACCATTTTAAAGTGTACAATCCAGTGGTTTTTAGGACATTCACAGTGTTGTGCAACCATCACCAAACTCTGTACCTCCCCATTCCTTCCTCGACACCACCTTGGCAGCCACTGTATTACTGTCTGGCTCTATGTATATGACTATTCTCGGTACCTCATATAAATGGACTCATTTAATATGTGGCCTTTTTTGTCTAGCTTCTTTCACTTAGCCTAATATTTTCAAGGTTCATTCATGTTGTAGCATGTATCAGTACTTAATTCCTTTTTCTGGCTTAGTAATATCCATTGTATGATGTACCACATTTTATTTATCCATTCATCAATTGATGGACATTGGGTTGTTTCCACTTTTTGGCTACTATAAATAATGCTGCTATGAACATTCATGTACAAATATTTGTATGGACATATGTTTTCAATTCTCTTCAGTGTAGGCCTAGGTCTAGAATTCCTCTTATCTCACACCTTGTCTTCAAAAATTGCCACATTGGGCTGCCAGGAATGTTTGTAAAACACAAACACTAATAAAATATAAAACAGAAAGACATAATTAATAACTAAGCAAGATTCCACTGCTGGGTATTTATCCAAAGAATGTGAAAACACCAACGTGTAAAAACACATGCACCCCTGTGTTCATTGCAGCGTTATTCACAATAGCCAAGACTTGGAAGCAACCTAAGTGCCCATCAAGGGATGAATGGATAAAGAAGATGTGGTATATATACACAATGGAATACTACTCAGCCATAAGAAACGATGAAATCCAGCCATTTGTGACAACGTGCTCATATATTTCCAGAGGCAAAATAATGATGTCCGTTTG